ATAACACTTTTGGTAGTAGCAAATTGAATGGTAACTCATCAAACAGAAAGTGCTTCAAATGTGGGTCCCCAGAACATAATGCTCGTTATTGTACTCGTAGCGGAGATTCAAAACAACAAAAGACATCAACTTTTGTAAGAAGAGGAGATCGAGATCATTACAGAAATAATAATAATCATTATTGAAGGATGTGGAATCAAAACCGCTTAAAATGCGAATCACTTGAACATCTTGCTAATATCTACACAATATAACTGGTTTTATGATGATGATAACAACAGTCAGTATCAATGACAATTGCAATGACATTGGTAACAGTGGAAGGACACCTTTCTAGAAACTGTTTGTTGTACATCAAACTGTTAAATAAATTTATGTATATTAAATTTTAGCTTAATGAATCATTATTTTGCATGAATAATTTTAATATTTATTAACTATATATAAATTTATTTTTTTTCAATGATTGTTCATCACTACTAGAGGCCTGCAATAGGACCCAACTCGCAACCCAACTCTGTACCAGACCTGCATTGCGGGTTGAGCCTGGATGGGCATAATTAATATTAATGAATGCGGGTTAGACCCGGGTTGATACTTATACCCAACATTACAGCGTGCTAAAAAATTGTATCATACAATAATTTTTTTTTGTAAATAATTATTTATTAGTCAATATTACAATTCAAGTGGTGAGGATGAAAATAATACAGATGAGATTGGTCAGTATTCATTATTGAAAATACAAAAGGATATGGATTTGGTTATATTACAATGGTGTAAATATCATCAACTCCAATATCCAAAGCCTGCAATATTAAGTGCTAATTATCTTTCAGTCCCATCTTCTAGAGAGGGAATTTAGTGCAGCAGGATTAACCATCAATCAGCTTTGAATCTACAAACAGTGGACAGTGTACTTGTGTTGTGAGGTGCATCTTAATAAATGTTATTTTATTTATAAGTAATGAAAAAAATAAACTTTTTTTGATCTTTTATAAACCGGGCTGGTATGGGTCCGGGTTTAGAAATTATGATTTGATGCGAGTCTGGGTTGAGCACGGGTTTAATTATAATGGTCTCTAATGACAATTATTAACATTGAAGAATAATCCACTACCTTTTTCTTTTATTAGAAGACTAATTACAATCATCACAAATTTAAATTATGTTATGAAATAATGGAAGGTCAGAATTAAATTAGTAATAGTGATTTTATGGATCAATGAATAAATCGGAAATGATTTACAAAAGTTGCACGAAAAGAAACGGGAAAAAACACGGAAATATTTTATTATTATTATTATTATTTATTATTTATTATTATTATTTATTATTATTATTTATTATTATTATTTATTATTTATTATATTATTATATTAATAATGATAATACTTCAAGAATTCAAACCAGCCATATTTGTTAGCGTTGCTCAATCAATGTAATAAACCAATAAAATAATTAACTCACGGAAATTATCGAGGAAGATTATTGTAATACTACCCAAATTCTATTCAAACGAAGGAATTTAAATCATCTGTTCACTCTAAAAATAACTCGAGAATGATTTTACACGGAAGATTCAAATTATGTTTAAGGAATAAATTTAATTAGAATTCTCGGGAAATCAAAGAGCTTATTGGACCATTAAATGACGTTGTAACTTTCTTGACTTTGTGTATCATTATCACCATCATTATCATTATCATAAAAAGTTCCTAACAATAATTATTTAACAAATAACAAACTGTTCTTATCCTTGTCCTTGTTGTCTTTGAAATTTTATATTTTTGTATTGATAATAAACCCATCTCCAATGAATTCATACTGATCCGTGCATAAATTAATTTTCTCTTGTTTTATATTTATCTTTTCTTTTAATAGGTAATATTTTATTTAGCGAAGTACCTGACTTCAGTAAGGGAGTAACAGCGTGAAGGGTACTCTCAAGAAACGTTATCAGAATATAGTGCGGAATCTAAAGAAGATATTGTTTAGTATTTGCTTAACAAGGAATTGTTTAACGACAAAGAAGGATGGTTTTGATAGTAAAGCATAAATGTACATTCGCGGAAATTGTTACGATTTAGTATAAATAAATGGGAAGAAATTGTATTATTGTATTAGTATTGACTTTAAATATATTATCATCACCAAGACTCGG